CCATATCTACCCGTGGGTGTCGTAAGAGGCGACGGAGGGAAATTGGTGCTAAAGATGGACAGCAGCATCTTTCTAATAACAGCAAAAAGAAAATCTAAAACTTATTAATTTTAGATATTAAGTAGGTTTATTATCATATTAATTTTTAAGGCATTTTAATATCGTACGAAAGAATTTGGCTTGTTCGGGAGAACGCTGAACTTTGACTCAGATGAAGACCGCGTTCGTTCCAGTGTTTGTAATTCTGTGCCTAGTGGACCCGGAACATTGAATATTGAGCTTTGATCGACTGTTCTTTACTTGTGTCGTGTGTCACTTGTTTTAATTCGATGAACGTTGATTTTGTTGAATTTGAAGTTAATTAAATGTACAATAAAGTTGATAAACTGATTGAATAGTGAAATCGAAGCAGAAGGTTTCAATTGGGGATCGCACATTTGGAGAGAAGCAGCGCCTGGGGTTCTGCGGTCCGACTTCAACGGTTAAGTCAGGTTACACATTGTACACACTACTTACATGCACCTCACTTATCACCTGACTGGTACCCTGTGGTCAACCCTACCTCCGGAAATCGGTAAGTTTTGTTGTGCTTGCTTATTTGTCAGCCGTTTTAGAACATTTATCCATAGGCCATTGGTCTCCACCCTTGGTTGCTCGTTGAGTGTTCCGCTGATGGGCTCCGGGATAGTCGACCCTTGTCGGGGCAACTGAAGGCGTGTACAAACCCCTTTTATGCAAACTTAGTTTATTAAAGTTTTTGAACTTTAATAGATATCAGTAGGTATGTCGTGTCAAACCATGTTTGGTAGGATCTATTGGGTAAAATCCTTGGAACGAAAGAAAAGGGGCCTCGGTGATGCAACTCCGCTCACGTTTATATAAATCCACGTTATGCCTCTGATTGTAAGCTGTTATTTAAAAGAAAGTCCTGCTGGGTTTCTTTCTGGTTCTTCCAAGGACAGAGGTTTTTTTCGAACCAGTGGTAATTAAACAAAAAAGTGACTTATTATTTATAATCTATATTGAATAAAAAAGTTTCTGTTTCTGTATAATTATGAATAATACACTAGTCACGAACTCATCCGAATGACGCACGATAATCCACGAACACTGAGTTTCGGCGCCGCCGAAGGTTCGGTAGTTTTTTGCCGAAACCGAAACTAGATTTTTTGCCGAAACCGAACCTTCGGTCGGTCACTAGTAACAACGTTTTTACCTACCGATCGACCCTTATGAATGTGTGGGTAAAGTCAATCAGTTAAAATAACACATTAGTACACATTTTGTATTTAAACGATAAAAAGGACAGAATTTTTGAGGGTTATTTAAAATAATTTTTCTTCATCATTTACCTATATTACTTATTCTGAACCTACTCTGCAAATTTGGCCGGTTATTGCAAAATAATCCTGTATACATATAAATTACACTAAACAACTATTATTTATACAACTATTTTATCCTATACACTATATACTAAACAATAAACAAAAATATTTATACAAGTAAGTACATATTTACAAACAATGTATTTACCTAAACAGTGTTAAAAAATTGAAATTTACTAGTACGTCGCTCGCTTAAAACGCGCTAGTCCTGCCTGCGTAGTGCCTATGTAATCTGAGGTTCCGCGCAATTGTAGACCTGACAAAATAATTAAACACTATGTGGCAGCGCTGTCGTCGCGCCACAAGCGAAACACATCGAAGCCTAAATTGCACTAACAAAGTTCCGAAGTTAAAGCAGCATAATATATAGAATAGCTCCGAACTATCAATAGGAGCGTTGGCCGCTCCCGGGGCAGAGCACCTTGCCCGGAGGGAGATCTCCCCTTTTCCTTCTACCCGCTACAGTGGTGACCCCGACGTGATATGAACACGCAACCAACAACCTTCAGAAACTACAACTTCAAAAACCTTCGTCATTATCCTCAAGTACCCCATTCATTCGCTCCCGAGCAGATATTGTCTGCAGTCTTCACATTCTGCAAGCCATCTAGCTCTACCAAGGTTCATCGCAGCGTTGGAATAATAATGCTTCCTGTTCCTTCAAGCTACTCTCTGCGCTACAGTGTTCGGCACGGCTCTGAGCCTTACTGCTCGCCTCTGCTTCACGGCACTCTCGCAGATTACTTGCCTTCTTCTGGACTCACCGCAGACTTACAAGGCAATTCCCTGGCACTTGCAAATCCGTCGACATCTGGACTGCACTATCGACCTCCGGTCTGAGCACGGGGGTGATGTGGCGGCGCTGTCGTCGCGCCACAAGCGAAACACATCGAAGCCTAAATCGCACTAACAAAGTTCCGAAGTTAAAGCAGCATATATAGAATAGCTCCGAACTACCAATAGGAGCGTTGGCCGCTCCCCGGGCAGAACACCTTGCCCGGCGGGAGATCTCCCCTTTTGCTTCTACCGCCCACAACTACTTGAAGTAGGGCAAGGCATCACTACTATAATAAAATTGTCTTTATTTTTCGAGTTCAAAAAATTTATTAGGCTCTTATTATTATGTAAATGCTCGATTGTCGTTAAGATTCGATTTTATTTTATATTTCTTATTTTTTTTCAAATGCAACATGTTCCAATAGTGATTATGATGATGGGCATTAAAGGTTTGTTTAAAAATTTAGTTATGTTATTTTGGGGTTGTCCTCGCTAATTCAAGTGTTTAAAAAAGTAAAGTTACAGCCTAAATACGTCCCACCGCTGGGCACAGGCCTCCCCTCATTTCTGAGAGGGTTTTTAAGGCAAGGAAGTATCCGCCGCGCTGCCCCAATGCGTGTTGGCGAACTTCACACGTCTTTGAAATATTTTTTTTCTTATTCCTCAGACATGCAGGCTTCTTAACGACCGCCGAGCACGTGGTAAATCAGCAGTCAGCACTTAAAATTGCAATTAACTAGTTCATTGGTGCCGGCGGGGATCGAACCCGGTTTGCTCGCGTACTGTAAAATTTACAGCGAGCCAGTGGAGTAGCGTGCCTTAGAGGGGCCCTGTATCAAAATTTGTCGGGGGGCCCAAATGAAGGGTAAAGATTTTTCACAAAAGGAACAAAAATTGTCGCATTGAATTAAAATAATTATATATTGATTATAAGTTACTACTTACAATTAATACTCCTAGGAACTAAGCTAGGCCAACAATTCAAACGAACATCCTATCCCATAGAAGTCCTTAGAATTTTGGCTTACATACGTTCGGGGCCTCTATAGCCCAGGGGCCCCGTATCATTGATACGGCTGATACGGCGGTAGCTACGCCCCTGCAGCGAGCGCTATCTGAGCTACCACGGCTCTCATGTGTATACTTATATTATATTCAAACTTTTTATTGACATCTCTATGGACGCCCCGCCAGGCCGCGCGAGCCTCGGAGAACCAACTTCAGCCCGGCCAAGACGAAAAGCAAAAAGTTTATATTGTGTTTATTTAATTTTGCATGTTTTTGCATTTTGCACAGGCGTCACCCATATTAACAAATATGGTATTTAGATTATTTTTTTTTTTACTTATAAGCCAGTGCTTGACCAGAATCCCACCTGGTGATAAGTGGCGATGCAGCCTTAGATGGTAAATCGCACTGTCTTACCGTAACAAAAGCCTATTCACTCTTGTCTTGAAGACGCCCGGATTGTATTCGGACGGATAGATGCCGGCAAATTATTCTATTCCTTTGCTGTACACATTACAAAAGTCGAAGCAAACCGGTTGGTTCTAATGCGTGGAATATGGACAACGAAGGGGTAAAGACCCGCCGACCGCCTGGTTGTCCGATGGTGGAAAGGAGAGGGAGGAATTAGAGCGTGTAATTGCTGCGCACACTCACCGAAATGCATCCTTTAGAATACCGAAAGAATGGCTACTCTGCGCCTGTGCTCTAGGCTGACAAGATTGGTTTCAACCAAGTCATGGTCACCAATGAGCCTTTTAGCACGTATCTCCACTGAGCTCAACGCTGCCGGATGGCATTTTGCAGCACCAGCCCATGTGACAGCAGTACTCCATGCACGACCAGACGCGCGCTTTATACAATTTAAGAAGCTGTCCCGGCGTGATGTACAGCAACACCCTTGCCCTTGCAAGGGTGTGGCGGTACATCACGCCAAGATTCTTTGCGGCTGCTTTAGCTCTGGACTCAATGAACCGCCCATAGTTGAGGTTCGGCGAAAATTCAACCCCTAACAACTGAAGGAGGTCAGTGTACTCCTTTTAACGGTGAAAAGACACGCCTGTGTTTTGGAGGCGTTGAATCTCACGAGATTGGCATCGTCCCATTCGGAGACTGTCTGTAGTGTGAGATTCACACGCTCAACCATAGCTTCTCTTTCGGACTGGATTTGATCCCGAATGGCCCAGGCACTTGGTTGGTATCTCTCTACAACTGTGCTATAGTCTAGTGTAGTGCTGCGTCTGCATACACATAGATACCGGGTAAAACGATAATCTAGTCTGATTATCGTTTCTTGTTTTTAATATAGCCTAACAAGTGTGCAAGACTGAAAGTAGGCCTTCCCTCTCAGAAATTTTCCATAGTTTTGCAAAAGTCAGTATTTTGAGTAATTAAGAAGATGTTGCTGCCCATCTCCTGTTTTATTTCCTTTTGCAGTCTCCTAGGATACCCATATGATGATGTGGGCTAGTGGATTTTCTTAAGCCGCCATTACACGGCGTTACGTAACCCATTACGAGCGTTTTTTGTTTAATCTATTATAATTTTGTTTTTGTTTAAAGTGTCCTTGAACAATATTGTTTCCCAGGCCAAACTTGTTTGTACAAATTAGTAAATATTTAGAAAGAAAAAGAAATGAGAAGAAAACATTTATCATATTAATATATTTCGTGCATAATAAACATAGTACAATGGTTTATAATGTCAAATTATTCATGTATTGAGGACACCATCATTCAGGTACATATAAATCACAGTTTTTGTTCAATCTTTGCGATGAAACACATGCGGTTGTGGTGTGAGCCTATTAAGGTCCACAGAGTCTTCGCATCAGGAAGAATTGCCATTTTCACCATTATCTTGGAAATTGTTAGCGTTCGTCGAAAATGGCGCACCAAGCCCATACAGATGTCCGCTCGTACTTTCAATGTTGCCATCAAAGAATATCTGCGAAATGTACATGTTAGTCTATGTGGAAAAGGGAGCCGAAACAAAGATTTTAAAATAATTCTTTAATACTTTTTTATAAAAAAGAAAGGAACAATTAAAGCATAAAACAACCTCATTTTATTTTATTTTATGAAACCCTGCCACGTTTAGCTAAGGCATTGGCAAACTCAGTAACAAACGTCGCACACATTATTGTATTTACGATAGTTGTTCCACCATGCTTTGAAGTCGGAAGTCATATTTTATAGTCGACTCTATACGAAATGCCTGTCCATCACCTGACTTTGTTGAATTTTGACGTTGTATGTTCTGATAGACAGAGGGATTTTACGGCTTCATTGGATTCAGTGCTAAATGACTCTATACGAAATGAGGTGATGGACTTTGTTGAATTTTGACGTTGTGTGTGCTGATAGCCAGAGGACTTTTACAGCTTCATTGGATTCAGTGCTAAATAAAAACTGATGAAAATAATGATGTTCAGTCAATACGTGTCTGAACAACAGGTCTACGGTACGGGATTAGTACATGTTTAACAATTTAGTTTGCGATTGAAAGTTATCAATAATCGGACTGCTTGTACAGTGAATGACCTGTTCAAAAATTTGGTAGTTTGATCTGGTATTTTTAATATCAAATATTTCGATGATTACAAAAATGTTCAATATGTGTCCGAATGTCAGGTCTCCGGTACGGGATTATTTCTCAACTAGCTTTTTACCCGCGGCTTCGCTCGCGTGCACTTGATATTAGGGACATCTTTAAATGATGTTCCGTGTCAAATTTAGAAATATTCGATCACTTTTAGAGTCACCTTGGTGTCTATGTCTCTATGTCTGTCAGAGATTTTTTTTCATTCTAAAATACTATTAGACGTAGATGATTACAACAGGTACTCGTAACATGCTACAGAAACACGTGGATATATAATATGTCTAGAAACTCCTACTATTTTTTTATATATGGCGTGTCTTCCGATTCCGATGTATCCATAAGAAAGGTAAATAGTCTTGAAATCAAAATGTATTATTATTATTTACATTTTACTCTTTACATATATATATTCATCGTTAAAATAAATTTAGTTTTAACAAAGTAATATAATGTTTATTTGAGATATATATAGATATTTTTTTTTTACTTCGAATAGACAGTGAAAATTTCATAAATACAGTTCTATAATAAAGAATACCACACATGGATTAAAACTAATGTTACGGGTTTTTTATGTATCTTGGCTCCTCACCGAATGAAAGCACCGAAACTCCGGGAAGTCTAAAGTATATAAACATGTTTAGTATCGTCCCAACCATTATATACAACAAATTCTTGCAATAGAACACCGAATCCTACCAATGAAGATACGCGAGGCTATTGAAATTATAAATATCCTAATTTTAATAGGGAAGATGGCTGAGTGCTACTATCTGCTAAGGATTCCATGATTAATAAAATTAAATTCAAACTACGACTGCATTTTAACTATTCTATTTTAACTATGACATCAGGTCGTCAAACACCTCAGTTCTCCCGCCCCTCCCGTGACTATGGCTGCTGTAAATTACCCAAACCATCGGGAATTTAAAAAGTTAAAATTAAACGCGATAAAATCCTTAAAATTACTTTTATTCCTTATAAATTTTATACACAGTGACGTGAGGAATACTACACTCATGAACGGGAGTAGAAAAATGTTCGCACTGTTGTGGCAGTGAAAGAAAATCCAACACCTCATATCGTCCCGTCGTAAGAGGCGACATAGGAAAAAAACAGTAGATGGGATGATCTGCATCATCTTCTTGACAACGAATCAAAATAATAATAGCTGCGGTTACCAACCCACCACTATAGTAATGTTACGCACCTCTATTAATGTCTTGTACATGGCAACACTAGTTACACTAGCGCCCCCTAGTGTCGAGTAAATGAAAGTATTGCGCGCCACTATTAATGTCTTGTACATGGCAACACTAGTCACACTAGCGCCCTCTAGTGTCGAGTAGCAGAACTAGGAGAGTCGAGATCCTTCCAGAAATTTCGGGACCGATATGTACTCGAACATTCTAGATGTCGCTACAGTAGAAGGTTCTGGAAACTATCTGAGGCCCTATATAAGACCGGTATAGACCACGACCGGGGCAGTATTGGATTGGCGATACAAGAGAATACTTCGAAGCGAAATAACGGCGAACTGTGTTTTATTATTAGTGTGATTTTAGATTGTAATTAGTGTTGTGTAATTAAAGTGTCAATTTTGGTAATTCAATCGGCAGTTTTTAATTGTCTCGAACCCCAAGCTCGTAACAATTGGTGTCAGAAGTGGGATCAAATATGCCGATTTTACCTAAAGACGACACGGAGGGTATCCGTACCCGAAGTCAACGCCAACAGGAGACGGACCAGAGACGATTTGGTAATGCAACGCCGCAAACGTCGGAGGGCCAGTTGCTAACCACGGAGGCTGGCCCGTCAGCAGCTCCTGCATCTGCAGCACCTGACTTGGGTGCTCTGATGATGATGCTGCAGGATCAGGCTCGCCGACAGGAGGAACAGGCCCGCCGACAGGAGGAACAGGCCCGCCGACAGGAGGAACAGACCCGTCGGCTGGAAGAGCAGCTGCAGCGCGGTATGGAAGAACAGATGCTCCTCAGGAAGGACCTTCACGCTACCTTCGGGAAAGAGATAAAGGAGGTGAAGGATAGGGTTGCTCAACATGACAACCGCCTGTCGGAAGCTGAAACCCGAATCGACCAAGTGAACAATCGGGTTGACAACGTGATGGCTGATGTGAAGAAAACGCTGGACGACCTCAAACTTGGGGATGGAATCACAGCTCCCGTGGTAGCTACAACACCTTCGCTACGTGGATTCAAAGTGCCGCCGTTCGACGGGAGTTCTTCCTGGTCGGCCTACAAAATCCAGTTCGAGGCTGTCATGAAAGCGAACGGCTGGAATAAAAGTCAGGCCATGACTGCTCTCACCCTAGGCCTACGCGACCAGGCCTTAACTGTTTTGGAAGCGCTCGGTAAGGAAGTGACTTACGAGCAGCTCCTTGAGGCATTGGAGGCGAGATATGGAGATGCTCACCTGGAACACGTCTTTCGTGCGCAGCTCAAAGATCGCGTGCAACGCAGTAACGAAAACCTGCAGCAGTGGGCCCTTGAGGTGGAGAAGCTGGTTCGAAAAGCGTACCAGTCTGTACCTGTGCTCATTGTAGGGAACCTGGTGCAGACTTTCATCGACGGCATCCGCGACCTTGAAGTCAGAGCTGCTGTGAGGCTCGGGCACCACCAGACGCTTAAGGACGCCCTGACCCATGCACTGGAGGTGGAAGCCGTGCGGCAGGATCATCGTTCCCACCGCGTCAGGGAGGTTGCAGCAGCTACAGTTCAGGACCGCAACAAGGGTTATAACCCTAGGTGCTACGGCTGTGGGGAAAGGGGCCATCTTCGATCCAGCTGCCCTAAACGAACTGTAGAAAGGGAAGGTGATCGATCTCGAGAGGGTAGTGCGGATAATAGCACCGCCCAGCAGCAGCAGGGAAACGAGTAAAAGCCAGGACTGCGGGGCGGGTGCTGGCTGATGTTAAAAGAGCCCCAAGGATTTCGATCTCACAAACCCATGATGGGAACAGCCTAATCATCAAGGGCGAAGTCAACGGAACGCCGTGTAAACTGACCATAGACACTGGAGCCTCTCGCACGGTTGTCAGTTCCCAACTTATAAGTCAGTTCCTTGGGGACTCCGCATACAACCGAGAACGCATTAATTTGATGACAGCCACCGGTCAGCGCATACCCGTCCGTGGAGAGAAGGAGATGGAGTTGAAGCTAGGCAACATGATCTACCTGCATAATGTCATCGTGGCTGATATAATGGACGACTGCATCCTGGGCCTAGACTTTATGAGGAAGAATTGTTGTGAGATCGACGTTAAGCAAGGTGTTTTGAAATGTGGACAAGAAGAACTTTTCGTGGAAGGGGCGTTACCAGGGAATGTGTACAGCCTTAAGAAGATTGTTCTTCCGCCGAGATCGGAAACGATTGTGCCGGTTAGTCTTCCTCGGAGTCCTGGGCAAGCCCATCGTTGTGTACTCGTGGAAAGGGTAGACAATGACCTTCCATGGAAAGTGGCTCGAACCTTGGTCAGAACCACCGACATCTCAGGAGTACGTGTGTTGAACCTTTGTGATCAGGAACAGATTATAGAAAAAGGCACATTGGTTGGTACTAGTGAGGAAGTGGATTGGTTGCGTCGATGCGAATATCTATCGACCGGGACCCCCAGCAAGGATGGACAAACGATAGTGACCACACTTTTGGAAGACTGTCGCAGCGTTCTTTCCCCGAATGAAATGGTCAAGGCGAAGAAGTTGTTACTCAAGTACGCCAATGTTTTCTCGTCAAACGAAGCTGACATAGGAAAGACTGGCTTAGTTCAACACAAAATAAACACAGGACAAGAATTGCCTATTCGTCAGCGGCCAAGAAGATTGCCTGTAGCACGTGAAAAGGAAGTGGAAACCATGATTGAGGGAATGGTGAAGGATGGTGTTATTGAACCTTCATCTAGTCCATGGTGTTCACCTGTGGTGCTGGTAAAGAAGAAGGACGGCAGCATGCGGTTTTGTGTTGACTATCGCCGCCTGAACGACATTACAAAGAAGGACAGCTATCCCTCGCCAAGAATTGATGACACGCTGGATATGCTTACAGGCGTAAAGTGGTTTAGTACGCTAGATCTGAAAAGTGGCTACTGGCAGGTTGAAATTGACCCTAAGGACAAGGAGAAAACTGCATTCTCCACAGGAAAGGGTCTGTGGCAATTCAAAGTCATGCCGTTTGGATTGTGCAATGCTCCAGCAACGTTTGAAAGGTTGATGGAGCTTGTACTTACCGGGCTAATTGGAGATGCTTGTCTGGTCTATTTGGATGACATCATCATCGTAGGCCGTACGTTTGAGGAACACCTTCAAAACCTGGAACGCGTGCTCATG